GATGACACCTTAACATATAAATAGAAATATGTACAAAGTGACAACATTTTATTTATTTATTTATTTATTTATTTATTTTTGACAAGAAAATGAACAAATTTTCCTATCCATTGCTGGATATAAGGTCTAACTCGTATGTTACAGCATATGAAGGTACCCCAAGTCCCCATCCCCCCTAACACACCAAAGTATGCCTATGGAAGAGTGAACATGATGCTGGTAAGACCAGAAATTGCCATAATAATTGAAGCCAGAAAAGTCTAATAAAATATCAGTTTAAATAGTCTACAGTTACCATTTATGTCTATGACAATGACAGACAGGTTGTAAAATGTCAGTGCATTTCTTACATGGAATTTTATCTTCAAAAGTATCTTTTAAATTGGAGAAACCTGTCAATTTTTTCTTTTGTTTATTCAAGTTTTGTGCTTCTGTAACTTCTGTTTTAAGATGTCCACTGTTCCTAATCTATTGGACAAGCTGACCCACCATGGCCCTTTTGTCACTAGATACCCTCTTACCATGGAACAAGTCTACCAGGTGGGTCACTCATCACCTCTTTGATAACTAATTGATGTTCTTTAATTCTTAGATGATTTAATTTAAGTAACACTGCCGAGTGATTTTATCATAGCTATGTCTTTAGATATTAAATTCTAATTAAACAACTCGGGGCTTGACACTAACTTTTATTCTCTTTTTTTCTCCACTGGCCCTTTAGACAAGTGAGGTATGGTAAATATTACAAGGGTTACTTGGCACATTAAGCTGTATTTGCCCTTCAGGACTGTAACCCCTGTAATTCACTGGCCTAAGATCGGTTTTCAGTGGCCCGGGCCAGCAGGCCACCTCTTATGTTGAGTCCTGTAGCTGTTAAGAGTAATGATGGTACTATTATATACACTAACCATTGTTTTATATACAAACAATCATGGTACTATTCCAGAACTATGGTTTCATATACTATCGCCATGTGGTGAAGTTAGACTGGCACAATGCAGTGCTGGATGTCTCTGCAGTACGAGACAGGGGATATGTTTTGATTAACAGTGTAAGTTATTAACAGTTTATAAATAAGAGGTTTCTATATGATTATTGTAAAGAAAAGAAAAAGAGTATATTGAAAAATCATAAAAGAGAAAATATAGTAAAAAAAAAAAGGGGGAAATTTTTTGGACTAATCTTTTTTTCAAAACCGCTTGCTTTAGTATAGCTTCAGACCAAACCAACCCACCATCAAACCTAATCGACATCTTATTCAGAAAAAGGTCATGTATATATCAGCTATTCTTAAATTTTTCCTAAAACACAGTGGCCAGGTGCAATATATATCATTGCTTTTATAAGTGTTCTTCTTAGATATGTGGTATTAAGATAATAATAATAATGACAGTTTAATGTCCCAGGTACCTCAAGGTGTGGTCATCAGGGAGTCCAGCCAGACTAAACTGACCATCACAGCCCTGACTGGTCAGTACCTGGACATCCTGGTGGAAAACCAGGGGAGGATTAACTATGGGTCAGGCATCAACAATAACACCAAGGTACAAGATGGAGGATTAAAACCATAGAATTTGGGGGGAAATCTGTAAATTTTTACTTTATTTGGGAACAGCTGGACATTAACAGTAACAATAAGTTACCAAAGTGAGATTACACACACACACACACAAAAAAAAAAAAAAAAAAACTCAGCAATTTAAGGAACATTGTAATACAAAAATTACTCCAGTCTGCGAAATAAGCGGTTGTCCGATTGCCCGGGACAACTAAAAAGCACGTCGGGCAACTTAAAATTACGAAGTTGTTGTCCGGTCGGGCAACTGAATCATTTATGGACATAAAGAGTATACCTATGTCAAAATCTACACAGAAAACAAAATTTTAGGTTAACCTATATCGTTATGTTTTCCACAAGATTCACTGTCGCAGTAACCGACCTGCTGACTTCGCCGTGTTTGTGCAGAATCTCTGCTGCTATTATTAGATCTAAAGTTATTTATAGCACTGCCAGTAGCTGGTCGTTTAGACAGGAAGATGACGTAATGCCTGGGGAGTGGGGAGGGGGGGGGGGTCATGTTTGCCGCTTTTTCATTGGTCGAAATGAAACAATGGCGGACATTACTTCAAAATTATGGCACGTCTATCAACCGCGTGTTTCTCTATCCAACTTTCGTCATGGAGAAGTTTCTGAAATATTTTGACGGTGCAAACCCCGGATAAAGGTTACCCTAACAAACAGCTGAGCCAGAAATGTCAAAGAAAAAGAAATTATACGAAGTTAAACAGATATACGCCGAAGAGGATTTCTACCGTCACGGCGCACTTGGCTTGTTTTTGACAGCATAGCTCAGCGTGCAAAGCATGCTGTCAAGGAGATTCTTCACCTTTCGTTCAAGGCAAAACCTCACTACAGTAAGATGGCATTAAGAAGCACAAGTCCTCAGAGCCGCACGTCAAAGCGACGGCGCGAGTGCTGACGGTTCCTGCTGCTAATCAAAGTGTCGCGGCGGACTGCTTGCATCGGCTGCAGAAGGCAGAATCTAGGAGTTTTAATGAGAAAATGTAAGTTTCAATTTATTTATTTTTTTTAAATTTGTACTTGTTCTTGTTTTCTGCGTTTAAGTATTTTAACTTCTTTTTAATAAAAGATAAAATTGAAATTCTGATGACGATTGATTTGTTTTTAGACAAGCACTTTTTCTAGAAAGAGAAGAATTAGTCTTCCATTTTTTTTTTCATTTTTATGGTACNAATCAACTAACAATGTTGTAAAGATGCAGGAAATATCAAACAAACACTTTTAGGCATCTTATTAGTTCAGTCTGCGAAATAAGCGGTTGTCCGATTGCCCGGGACAACTAAAAAGCACGTCGGGCAACTTAAAATTACGAAGTTGTTGTCCGGTCGGGCAACTGAATCATTTATGGACAAAAAGAGTATACCTATGTCAAAATCTACACAGAAAACAAAATTTTAGGTTAACCTATAGGCCCTATCGTTATGTTTTCCACAAGATTCAATGTCGCAGTAACCGACCTGCTGACTTCGCCGTGTTTGTGCAGAATCTCTGTTTCTATTATTAGATCTAAAGTTATTTATAGCACTGCCAGTAGCTGGTCGTTTAGACAGGAAGATGACGTAATGCCTGGGGAGTGGGGAGGGGGGGGGGTCATATTTGCCGCTTTTTCATTGGTCGAAATGAAACAATGGAGGACATTACTTCAAAATTATGGCACGTCTATCTACCGCGTGTTTCTCTATCCAACTTTCGTCACGGAGAAGTTTCTGAAATATTTTGACGGTGCAAACCCCGGATAAAGGTTACCCTAACAAACAGCTGAGCCAGAAATGTCAAAGAAAAAGAAATTATACGAAGTTAAACAGATATACGCCGAAGAGGATTTCTACCGTCACGGCGCACTTGGCTTGTTTTTGACAGCATAGCTCAGCGTGCAAAGCATGTCAAGGAGATTCTTCACCTTTCGTTCAAGGCAAAACCTCACTACAGTAAGATGGCATTAAGAAGCACAAGTCCTCAGAGCCGCACGTCAAAGCGACGGCGCAGGTGCTGACGGTTCCTGCTGCTAATCAAAGTGTCGCGGCGGACTGCTTGCATCGGCTGCAGAAGGCAGAATCTAGGAGTTTTAATGAGAAAATGTAAGTTTCAATTTATTTATTTATTTTTTTAATTTGTACTTGTTCTTGTTTACTGCGTTTAAAGCGATAATAACTCTTCGTTTTGGCCAAAAAATGAATTTTCCTGGAGTAAACAACAATTTTCCCATACTTACCAATGATTACTGAATCCATTTTTACATTCAAAGTTAGTCCCTGGTTTTTTTCTAAAAAGTTTGGTTTTTGGTTAAAATCTCTTAAGAGATTTTAACAGAGTATAGCCATCAATGGAGGTCACGTGGTCTGAAGACAAGCTCAGATATCAGAATAATAGCTATAACTGCTGTTTTTGTCGTATAACAGGATATATTATATTTCTATGAGTTATTAACAATGTTTTTATTGTGAAATATAAACCTCATACGAAGAGTTATTATCCCTTTAAGTATTTTAACTTCTTTTTAATAAAAGATGAAATTCTGATGACGATTGATTTGTTTTTAGACAAGCACTTTTTCTAGAAAGAGAAGAATTAGTCTTCCATTTTTTTTTTCATTTTTATGGTACTGTATGATATTTTGTATTGAATTATTTACTTGTCTTTTCTAGCAGGAGGTAGTTACAGATTCTTTTGTTTCTTCAATGGGGAATGATGAAGATGAATTTGATGAAGTAGATGAGGTCAATGAAGATGGAAGAAAACAGTGTTTTTATTTATTTATTATTATTATTTTTTTTTTTTTTTTGTCCTTCAGAGACTAGTCTGAACCAGACATTTCATTATGTTTAAAACAGTGACATTCCTTTTTTATATGCAGACACTCTATATTCTGATCACCCTGTCTGTCCATGCTGTCCAACATGTCTTGTACTTCCTATATCATTATTACAATGGTGAAGATGAATGTGATGAAGTAAATGAGATGGAGATGGCAGAAAATGCAGCATTTTAATTGTTTATTATGATAATTGTATATATAATAAATTAATGTGTCCACATTTGAAACTAAGTTAATAGACTATGAGGCAGAGAAATGGAGAATGCTATTACACTTAGCTAGCAGTAAATATATTGAAAAATATTCTTCATTTATGATTTTGGCTCGTCTTCAAATCTTGACCTGGAATGCCTTCTTTTACTAGAAAATATTTTAGTGTTTGTACAATATGTATGATGATGTATAGATGTTCTTAAAATAATTGTTTGTGGGAAGGAAGACGTAACCAAATGCTGCATTGTTGCTGTTGAGGTTCTTTAACATTAAACTGCTCATCATCTGTTTATTTGCATAAGTTAATCTGTTTAAAGCTACACAGCGCATGTTAGCCTTCACCCCGCTGAAATAAAAAGGGATCTTGGAAGTTTTGTGTTATTTTTCTTCGATTTATTTGGGCAACCAAAAGTGGATGGGGGCAACCAAAAAAATTAAAATGGTTGTCCGATGGGACAACCACTCTAAAAAGCTTATTTCACAGACTGTTACTCTGAGGTAACAAATTAGAGAGTTTGTAAGTATTGGCAATTTTCAAAGTTTTACAGTATGTTGAATTTGTACTATTTAATTGGGTTTAAGAAAACTTTTATCTTATCGATGTTATTCAAGTTACACAAAACTATTTTTAATCCAGATATTGTTAGAAGCTACATGACATTAATCCTGCAGATTTCAATATAAGTTGCACTATACAGTGAAATCTCATTTTGTTCATTTGAAAATTCAAATGAAAGTGATTGATTCAGAAGTTCAGTATGTATTTTTCGGTTTGATAATGTGTACAGGTTGTTGAACTTAATATAACAGTTGTTCATGTTCAATTTCAGGGTCTGATTGCTAATGTTACTATAAATGGACTCATCCTGAAAGATTGGTTTATATATCCACTGAATGTGTCAGAAAAGGTGCTTAATAACCTGGACTCAGCAGTCCAGTCCAAACAAAGGTAGTGCATAGAAATCTTTCTGTTGATCTATCTCAAGGTCGTCAAAACGTTTGATTGATAGTGATAAGGATTGTTTATTGTTGGAGTAGAAAAAGAGACAATTTTAAGTAATTCAGTGACAGTTACACCTCATCTTTTAATTTTCATTGAACTTTCTTTGAATTATGAAACTTGAACATTTCCATATTATGAAAGTTACTAGTCTTATAGACTAAGTACTGTAGCAAAACTTTGTTTACTCTGCAAATTCCTAGTCATTAAAAAGATTAGAAAGTTTTTTTAATGAGAGGAGATTGGGATTCTATAATGGTTAAATATGATAAAGATGTAATTGTGATTGTAGTGATCTTTATTTATTTATTTATTTATTTATTTATTATCAGTTCTCCTCCCAAGTATTCTGGTGTCAGCCAGTACATTACTCCTTCCTTATTTGTGGGCCAGATCCAGATGCCCAACAAAACTGGGTTCCCACAGGATACATACCTCAGGACTGATGGCTGGTTTAAAGTAAGTGAAATAACTTCAGTTGTATAGTCAAGCCAATCTCCTGTCACTTTACTCTGCAACAGAGGCTCTTTTATGTGTAGCTGTTACAAAATCAGTTGAAGGTCCTTCCTTCAACAAATTTAATTGTGACTGGTAATACAAATAGAAGGGCTTCTGGCAGAGAGTGCCTTCGGACTAATAAGTCTCTCAGACTGCCAGTTAGCAATCTCATTGCTGTCTTGACGCATTCTCATGATGAAACTTTTTTTCTTTCAGGGCCAGGCCTATGTCAATGGGTTTAACCTGGGGCGGTACTGGCCCAGTGCAGGCCCCCAGCTGACTCTCTATGTCCCCAAGGGGGCCCTCAGGCCCTACCCCGCCACTAACACACTGGTGCTCCTAGAGCTGGAATATGCTCCATGTAGCCAGACACGAAATGAGATTGAGGTGGACTACTGCTTTGTGGAGTTTGTGACCACACCTGTTATCAATGCCACTACTGTTAGTCTGGAGAGGAGGGAGGAATGGAATAGGGCTGGGGGATTTAATTGGCATGATCAGCATTAAAAGGGGGGGTGGTGGGTGATTGTGATTTTATATATTTGGGTACAGGTGCTACCAGTTGAATTGACTTATCTTTTTAAAAAAATTATTAGTGGTGTTTTTTTATAGATTCAGAGTTAGGGACAACGATGGTGAAATGTGTGGCAATATATCTAACTTTTTTTGATGTGATTTTTTTATAAATTTTATGAATTGCTGTTCACATCTCTATTTCTTATACTTCCACATAGTTATGTATTTATGTGCAATTTGATTGTTATCTCATGCAGCTGAATGACATTCTATGTGATTGGTTTGAAAAATTTGGAAATTGATTAAACAGCTTCATATCAAATGTGAGATTATCTGCACCATCGATAACACACATATGCGCACATGCGCACACACACACACATACACATTGATATCTAGATAAATTTACATTATCCATGCATCACATTTATATATCTTTTAACATATATTTTTTTCTGTTAGGAAATTTCATACAGATCATTATATAATAGCATTCTTAAATATTTTCATAGTTGTCTTTTCAAATTACATATCATCTTTATGCCCGTCTTAAGCTGCTCTGACTATATGAAATCCAGAATCATTTGAATTCAATCCCAAAAGTATGAAGGCAGTAGTAGTAGTTGTAATTGATAGAATTTCCCAGATGAAATTATTGTTAAAATGTGCATTCACTTGATCAAACATTCCAATTGATTATTAAATGTTTCTCTAGCGAAGTTGCATATTAGGTTTCAGATATTGTGACTGATTAGGACTATAGCGTATGACTGCAATATTTGTTTTGAATGAGATTTAGTTTTAAATATATAAATGTAATAATATATATATTGTGAGATCAAGTGAGTGATGAATGATAGCAAGAAAAGTTAATGGCCAGTTAAACACAAGAAAACTTGTTAGTATACATATTTTAAAAAGACTGGTATAAGAGTTAAGATAGTGATAGGAGTCTCTCAACTGAGAATCTGAAAACACAATCAGAATTTGTTTCTCCAGAGTGCTAGTCCATCAAACAGTATGTCAACAAAACATTTTATACAGAAAAGTGTTCATTTTATGCAGAAAAGTTCTTTGTTGCTCTGGGTCAAACCCACATGTGATATGCCTACGAAGTCTTTATATTTTTGAATACCTCATTGTTATGTCCGTATGAGTTTGTCTCATTTGTGTTCTTTGAGAAAACGTGCTGGCACTGTATTGTTTTGTGATATTGTATTTGTTACTTCATATTACAACAAGGTCCTTTGGAATCCTCTTGGGGTTCTCATTAGTTGAGGGATGTTCTAGTTGTGGACAATGTTTGTGTACATTACTGGATTTACAAAGGTGCTGCTTGTTTGCTTGCTTATTTCATTTTGACTAGTCCAAGAGTGCCTCACTCACTTCAAGGAGCCTTCCTGGTTATGTGGAAGGTTACACTTCAAGTCCGTTAAATTATGCTATTTTACAGCAATAAACATTGATTAATTAGCGACAGAGTAAAATTCTGCTAGAAATGAGTATGTTAACGTCTTTGTGAATAAAAAGTTGTTTACACATAAATAACACATTATCACGTTTCATTTCTCATTTCTGTTTTGTTACACTGAATTATCACTTCTCGTTATCAAGGCACATTTGGCTGTACTTACAATATATTAAGCACGCAATTCGGCTCGAATCTGATACCAGCTACGCAATTATCAGGTTTTGTCAAGAACCAAATCCTACAGACAGCCCTTTAACCGCCGGAAACCACATATTTAATTATACAATTATGTATCTGGTAAAAGTTATATTATAGAAATAACATGTCAAGGTATGCTTTCGTAACTGTCAATTCACCCAGATTTAATAGCAGTTTCCTCTGTAGGAGTAATTTTCTTCAGTCAACACCTGATGTTGGAATTGATTACCTCCGCTGTTTTGTTTGTCTGTCAGGCGTATCTAGGGTATCTTCATCTTTTGTATCTTTACACATATCTAATAAAATTCTTCTTTGAGCGACATCTGTATCATGATACACAAAAACAATCTTAAGTTTCTTGTCATAAATTCACTATCAGATGTTGTCTGATTGAGTGATTACATTATTCTGGACAAATTTTTTTCTGGGAACAACCAACAGTACAGAGATGTGCAGAAAATTATGCAGAGGAACATCTGCAAAAATCTAGTGAAAAGAATGTATCAGTGGCTCTGGTGGCGAATACGTGTAACTTCAAAAGCATTTTAATTGATTATCTCTTTTGTCTCAGCTTGTATTCGGTCAGATGTTGGTACTTTGAAGAGAAAGGCCTTCAGACACGATGTCAGTGGGGCTCTCAAAGCATCTAGTAATAAGTGGTTCCTTACAACTAAGACGCTCATTTTCTACCCATCTATACCGAACTCCTCGGGAAAACCCGCTAACCTTACTCCGTTCATCATATTTAGTCTAATTGATATTCATGTACCCGTATAGTATTGTTTTGGTCAAAAGAGTGCATGCCTTTCTTTATTCCAAGTGTATTGCTGAATTACCGCATAAACTATTCCTTTCCGTTAAGTCTAAACTGGCATTATATGGATAGAAAATGAGATTCCCTTTGTTAATAAACTCGACATGCCTGTGCCTATCAAATCATGTACGTATTTGTGTGAAAAAGGTCCATTACACGACAGCATGTATCAAAAAACGTGGGAGGTCAGTCACAGCAAGTCTGGCAGCATGTTCGAGTCGATTTCAACAAAGACATAAAGGCACAGTTGGTCCCTTTTCAATTGCTTCGTCTGGCTCATTCAAAATGAAGGGAACAATGGACAGTTCATATTTCAAGTTATTTGATTTTCTCACGACAATTAGGCTCTTGAATAAGAATGTCTCTGTATTAAATGACTTCTCGACCCCTAGTCAACAAATTAAAAATGTTTTTTTTTATAGTCATCAGGTGCGTCTGTCGTCGCTGTCGACTTCTTCATAATTGCTTGCAGGGACCATTTTTCTAAAGTTTTTCTTTCAGCAAATCTGCATTTCGAGGAAAACTATTTGATTTAAAGTCCGCAAACTAACAGGACTGATGTATATATCGAAAATAGGCCTGACATATCTTCAGTTAAGTGAACGGCGAATGGTGACAAAACAGTCATACTAGAAAATTTAGAGTTCTGCTAGAGGTGTGATAAAATGTCAATTCAGCCAATATACTGTGTAGTGTTTTAAGCTCAGTATTTGCATATAATAAAATAACTTTTAGTTAAAGTTTTTCAAAACGTCAACCTTCTTCTTGTTACCATAGCAATCATGCTGTTTCACGTTTTTTAAGCTAATCCTGCTGACATCTATTGTCGTCTATATGAATGAGTCAGAAGTAGATTACATAATTGTCGATTAAACCCAATAAATATGTTATAGTGACAATAACAACGGTCTGAAACTTTCGAACGTTTATTTATTTACACTCTATTGCTCCGTACTGATCAGGCATTCACTTGTTTTTCTTTCTATAGTCCTTGCGTGATTACAAGGAATTCTTCATTCTCACCATGCAACATTTCATCATCAGGTAATTTAATAGAGACTTGTTTTCAATTAAAATATTGTTTGAATTACTCATGCTTGATCCATATCCATCCTTAGTTTGCATGTTTTAAACACGTGTCAGGAACTTGCAAATCTATTGAGAAATTAACAAATTAAATCGAAGTATATGCAACTTTGACAAGTTCCATCTTTTTCTACCACGAGATCAATTTCCACACTTGTTGACCTTAAAGAAATTTAACTAACGCTCAATTACTCCCTATTCTTTTACTCATCTGATGCCATTTTAATAATCATTTGCATTTGGTGAAAGCGTAAGCCATTTACATGTACTTTACAATAAATATATAACATGTAGTCCGTAGAATGTTTTGTGCGGAATTTTATTGACCTGTATATGCTAGCATTTTACTATGTTAAATAGCTTCTAACTTCTTAAATAGCATTACAAACCTTGTGAAGTGCAGTTTTACCTGTATGTTGCTGACTTTTATCGTACATGTCCATAAAAACGAAGATGAAATATCAGACGGAACACCTGGTAGGAATTTAATTCCAAACTGGGAATCCACAGTCTTAACTGGAAAGTTATTTCTGTACTTTTTTTTTCATTTTTGACACCAAAGCAAACGCTTTAATCTTTGTCGGAATAATGAACCGCATAGTCCGTAAACGAAAAAATTAACTGACGAGTTCAGACTTGCTAGAAAAAAACCCGTGGGTGTTGTCCAGCTTTCAATGACTGCAATGATCTCAAACTGTCCGGCCATATGATCCACGACAGCCAAAACAAGGAATATGAGAGTAACAGGTAACACAGCTAATACATAAAATGTCATCAGTAACATTACCGTTTTTATTATCTGCCTGAAATCATCATTTTCTGAATTGTTCATTGTCAGTCGAATTTCAGCTTGCCTCCTCAAGGACTGAATAAGCTTCACGTATAGAAAAAGCATGAACCCATTTGGTAAAATGTTGAAAATGAGAGGAAACGCCTTGCGGTAAACAAGTTCATGGCTGTTGGTCCATTCCTTTAAACGAACATCCAGGCAGAAGTCACCCGAACTGTATCCACAAGGAAGAAATCCAACAATTTCAGTGTCAAAAAACTTCGGAAATTGATACATTGTGATCATTGTTAATAACACATACGTCCTCCATCTCCATTTTGATACCTTTCGAAACTCAATGCTTTTCACAGGTTTGTCAATTGCGAGATAACGATCGAATGCTACAAAAAGTAGCAGAAAAACAGAAGAAAGTCTTGCAATCAGCATGATTGGCCAAATATAAACGGTGATCGGCTGCATTGCGACAAAGTACCAGTCAATCCACCCTGAATAGACATGCAAAGCAGGTAAATGAACGATAAATATCGCCGTGATTAAATATATATTATCCGTGATTGCTATCCAGGACAGTAAATAATTAGTCGATTCATTTGCTCTATCCTTGTAGAATACAATAAAAGACAGGGTGTTGCAAATTATTCCAATCAGACCAACGGCCAATGACGCGAATCCTAGAACAACGACGGTGTACAAGTTTAAGGCCGTTCGATGATTGGTGGTGCCATTGACTAGCGTACTGTTCAATGAAAATGCCGTGAAATCCAATTCATCTTTATCGTCAATGAAAGTTGCCATTTTGTTTCAATAGGAAATAAGACGTGAAGCAAACCTGTCTTAACAATAATTGTACTTATGAAGCTGAGCCTTTATATCATGCGATTTGTCCACCGTCTTAACCAATCAGAGACCAGAATAGCAGATACTGTCACAGCTACTATAGGATTCCGCGTTGCAATTGAACAAAGCCAGTATTTAAAGGGATAACAACTCTTCGTATGAAATCTACATTTAACAATAAATACATTGTAAACAACTCATAGAAATATAATATATTCTATTTTACCAAAAAAAGCACAGTTATAGCAATTAATCTGAAATCTGTGCTTGCCATCCGACCATGTGACCTCCATAGATGGCAATACTCTGCAATAATCTCTTAAGAGATTATTACAAAAAAACAAACTACTTAAAAAAAAAAAACAGTGACTAATTTTGAATGTAGAAATGGAATCATTAACCATTGGTTAGTACGGGAAAATTGCCATTTACCCCAGGAAAATTCATTTTTTGGCCAAAATGAATGGTTGTTTTCCCTTAATGTCAAGTTTGACAGTGTTTTTGAGCATTGCTTTTTCCTGCAAATATATTTTATTTTACATGCTTTTTTGCTTTGTTTTAGGGNCGGCAGTTATAGCAATAGATCTGAAATCTGTGCTTGCCATCCGACCACATGACCTCCATAGATGGCTATAGTATAGCCATCCATAGATGGCTATACTCTGTAATAATCTCTTAAGAATGTAGAAATAGATTCATTTACCATTGGTAAGTATGGGAAAATTGCTGTTTACCCCAGGGAAATTCATTTTTTTGCCAAAATGAACAGTTGTTATCCCTTTAAGTGAAAGAGTCTTTCGGGGAAAATGAAAGGTAGAATCCCTACCTACTACCCTTGATAAATGACAGCTATGGCAACAAGGTGACACAAAATTTACTTTACGAAACTTGCAATTGATCTCGAAGAAAAGCATAAAACAGTTAAAATATTTTATTATGGACTGTACTGGTTACTGGTCAAACCTTGCTCAATCCTCACGTCAATGCATGGATGGAGCATGTCATTGGAAGTGTATGTGCTCGCTGGTGAGCCGTGGGTGCCTGCTATATCATATACCATTTGTATATATTATACAGACTTGACATTTAATATGTAATATTTCAGTTTCGAAGGTATGCCTAGGTAAAAATGCGTTCTTTTTTCACGAACTCCGATCTCATATAAGATATGTTAATGGAGAAGTGTGTAGTCAGGTGTGTCGCTACCAATTAACTGAATACCAGGCTTGTTGCGCTGCTGCATTATGTAATAAACAGTGATTTAATAGGGTAGCGCTCCTTTGGGCAGGTCAAAGCTTGGTTTTGGCAAAGCATGGTTCTGTCAAAAAAGTATCCATATGTCGGCAACTACTGCATAGAAGATTTTGAAATTTTGCATGCAAGTGGTCGGGTTTGCAGTGTGTAAGATGGGCTATGCAGTGCTTTACAAATTTGTTAATCTGTGGCAGAATGGCGCGAAAAAAAAAACAAAAAAAAAAAAAAAAACAAAAAACAAAAAAACAAAAAAAAAAAACAGGCACTGCCAGACAGATAATTGCGCCGAACGAAACGGTCCGCACAGTTTTATAGAGTAATGCCCAGACTGATGTACCTACACAGAGGCCACACCCAATGTATTGAAATCTTACCACCAGGGTACAGGACCCACTGTCTTTCGGGATATGCTGTTGCAACTAAACAAAAACCACCCAGTCCGTTCAGAATGATGGGTAAATTGCCACCAAAACGCATTTTTCAAGGCCCTTGGCGAACACCAAACTGGTTTTAGCAGGTTAGAATACCAGACGACCTCCGGGGAACCCACTGTAAACAGCAAAACATCGTTGTATGTTTCTCTAATGAATTGTGGACCTTGACCGTTTCTGGGTTGAACACTGAAACCTCGTGGCTTTCTTTATTGAGGTCAGATTTCACCTGTACCGCTCAACAATCAAAACAGAGCTTACAGACATCCAGAAGAGGCCAGAAGTGACTTAGGTCATTAACAACGTCAGTATTTGGAGTGGATACCACATTGGTGCCAAAACACCAATGGTAGTCATGGGCGAAAACCTGAACCAGATCAAATAAAGGAATAATCTGGGAACCACTTGGCTATCATTTGATAGGGGGCAACTTTGGAACAATTTTAGGTTGCACGGTGAGATTCCCGGTTCACACAAATCACTTTTAATAGCAGATTACTTACAGAACCAAGGGAATGAGCAGCTACCTTGGTCATCAAAATTGCCATATTTGAACCACATAGACAATAAGTGGGTAGGCCATTACTCGCCGAATCAATGACCTACATGTCCTACAACAAAACTGGGCCAAATTGGACAGATTTTGACCAAAGCCTGGAATGTTATTCCAGGTTGAACTCTAAAAGCCTATCCCAAGGAATGCCTTTCCACTTGAGAGCACTGGTAGCAGCCAGAAGAGGTCAGGCGTAACAACGACGTTACTGTGACTAGACACTGACATGAGGGTCTTTTGTGGAGCGTGTAACTCTTTTACAGACAATAATTTGAAAAATATGGAGATCCAAAATATCTCTTTTAATGGTTGTCGTATGGCATAGAATAGGCAATGTGTTTTTGTTTGCTTCTCTGGCGAATTCCATTAATGAACTGATGTCACAATAACACCAAAGAGATATTTAAAAGTTATTAAAACACGATTTTAATCCTTATTTTCATTTATCAGTCAGCAAAATAGGAAAAAAACTGATGAAAAATGATTTGGAAAAAAATATTCCATATTAAATGTCAAGTCTGTATATAATGATTTGCCATGGTTTGGGACAGGGATATTACAGATTACAGTAATTACAGTGATACATTTAGGGACGTACGAGAACAAGTAATAAATCAACTATTATATCATTACTGTATCATTAATTCAACATTTAGAAATAATTTCCCGAATTGACAATAACAATTTTCAATTACAAGCGATTGCATAGAGAATTGAGAATCACCGGCACAACCCGGATTTTTCTAAAAAACGCCGATCATAAAAGACCTTGAGCTCTTAGACTGGGTTCCCATACATAGATCGATCCATCTAGATCGATCTTACTCCCTGGGCAGTCTCACTAAATTGTTGTCCACTAACCGGCTTAAATGTCTGCCACACCTACCGCATCAGCTAGCATACATGAAAAGATAATTACCCCCTAACAGCTTTACTAGGCGTGACAGACATTTAAGTCTGCCAAGTTGACAGATATTTAGTGAGACTCCACAGGGAGATAGATCGATCCAAATATCTGTGGGAATGGTCCCTTAGTCGCTTCATTAAATGCTCCTGGCTCAGAGCTGTCACTGGCAAGTCTGGTTGATTTGAGGCAGTGTGAGGTTTATACTCGGACGGTACAAGTGCAGGGTATGTAATATATTACAAAGGGTAGAAGTGTGTGCGTATTATGAGAACCCCATGGGGTCCATGTATGAGGAGGGGGTTGATTTTTATTTCGTTGAGAAATGAAGAAATTATCGTTTTAAACTGTGCATATGTAGTTTGTGGTGTGTCTGCATTAAGGTCAGAATATTTTTAGATCGAGTTTGTGAATATTGTATCACATTAAAGTCAAGGGTCAGAAAAGACATGATCTTTCTAAACTTATTCTCTTCTTTTTGGATACAAAATGGAAAACTAGATAATTACATTCGGTCGATTTTACATCAATCTTATTCATTCCGCAAATGTCTCACGGTTTTGAATTGAAATAAGGACAATTTGGGGATTTATGATTATAAGATAGCATTGAAATGAGCAAATGCTTGGTTTTGAAGAAAACAAAAATTAAAATGTAAATAAACTCAATCACCTGAGGTAATTCTTCTATTGCAGACAACTATAAAATGAGCTCAAGCGCCGTGTTGGTTATACTGCTGGTGACAATGCTGGAAGTGTGTGCGTGCTCTGGTATGTAGTAAAAGGTTTTGTCACTTTAAATTGTGTAAATCATTAAAACTCTGTTTTGAATAATAGCAATTTTAGTTTAGTAACAATTTTCATGCAAAGGGGACAAACTGTAATGGTGACAGAAGAGCAGCTGAAACTGCAGCACTGAAGCATTGGTAACGAAGGCCCTATCGGCTATAATAGATTGTAAACTAACATGTACAGCAGTTTTTGTTTATGTACTAAAATTCTGAAATAATATTATGCAGGTTTAGTTGATTCCAATCTCCTTTTCCTCTTATACTAGATCTACAGAGATGCACTGCTGCCTACAAACTAGTAGCGTTCTCGGCAGGGAGATCAAACGATCTTGACCAGACGGGGAAAGGCAACGCTGTGGTTGTCTACGACACCGTCTTTCTGAACGATGGCAACGGTTATAATAAAGACACGGGGAAATTCACTTCACCGACCTCAGGGGTCTACGTCTTCCATTACCATAGTCTCAGCCAAAACAACAAGCCCGTATTTGTCAGATTGAACCACAATGGCCAAATAAAGAATACTGGGTACGGTAAACCTTCTACGGGGCATGCGACAGGCAGTAATACTATTGCTTTGCGGCTGGCAGAGGAAGACGAGGTGTGGATTGATTTAGTTGGCGGCCACGCCCTTCACAACCATCCTGGGGAGTTCCACAGCACGTTCACCGGTTACCAGCTCTATCCAGACAACAGCAGCATTAACACCGTGGCTTTCCATTGACGACCTAACATTTTGATGGAAGAGTCGGAGGTATTCCTCTTCAATATTGTTAACATCAAATATAATATACACGCTGTTTTGCTAACATACATGATTTTAACCATTGAGCAAACTTTGTAATTTTGAGCTTCATGTAAATTTACTTTCTTTAAAATTATGTTTAATTCAATTTCTTTCGGAAAATAAATTCAGATACTTTTATTTAGATGCATTTCGTTGCAGTTGTTGTCATATATGTTTAAATGGGGAACTATAGATCCAAGTCAATGATCAAGCACAAATAGTCCCTCAATATACTGTATTTGTTGAGATTTATTGTCGTGAAATATATGAAATACTTTTCAACAAGTGAACAAAACGATGCATTGGCACCGTTGAGCCTCTAAATGCATCAGATTGTCAATTTGCTTGTTTTAACAGCTTAAAAGCAAAGAAAGCAAAGAAAAAAATATGTATATATATGCATTTATATGTGTTTATATATATATATATATATATATATATATATATATATATATATATATATATTAACACGGCAAATGAAAACTGCATGGTATATTTATCAAGATACCTTTGAGGTGTTCCTGTCAAATATATTGAAAGGCGGCCCCACAGAAATGATCTAAAGAACCAATATTTTAATATAATAATAATTTGAATTATCTGAATAATCTATTTATAGGTTGGTTTATTTTTACCTCTTGCAAATGGAGTGAGATATCAGTTTGTAATGTAATGGTAAAGGATCATTTATAAATGACACACCATTCATTTATCTATTGCCTATCTATGTCACTGAGCGAAATGATTCATTAATAATAAAAGTAACTTTATTCCCGTTTTCTAGCTACGATGGTTGGTGAAGCCACCTGGTATCAAATCATATTGAAGACAAGAAAACACGCAAAATAAGAATCATAAAGGGTCTTGTAACAGTGACACACACACAAACACACTCACTCACACACACACACACAGGAAAACCTGGCACACTGCCGTTAGCAACTAAAACTGATAAATCACGCTGTATTTTTGTTTCACCCTGACTGTGATGTATATAGATAACTTTATCAAACAATACATCATTAAGTTATTAGCCAGAACGACGCCATGGCCTTGGTATATCATAATAGGGTTGGGTCGTTCTGGCTATGTCCTCATTATTGACAAAATCAACTGATTGTAGACAAATTTGAAGCAGTATAGATAACCTTTGAAATGATATATAAAGCGTACGCAACGGTTTTGGCAGCACTAGAGCGGGGCAGCCGGCATGTAGGGGCGGGGCACTGTGCCCACTCTGGGCGCTAATCTACTATGGCAATAGCTTCGAAAGAGATATACAACGTCTTCAGTGAGAACTTTTTAACATGTCATGTGTGTCTTGGAGAATATAAAGACCCGAGAGTGCTTCCCTGTTACCACACGTTCTGCCTGGAATGCATTGCTGACCATGCAGCCAAGAATGGTCTCCAGAACAAGTTCTCCTGTCCCTTGTGTCGCCAAGAGGCCCCCGTACCACCAGGTGGGTTAGCAACTCTCGTGAAAAACTTCTTTCTTACAAAAGTAACAGACTTCGTGAAAGATCTGAAAACCCCAGAGGGGAGACTTTGTGAGTATTGTAAGCATAAAGAGGCCATTTTGCTGTGCCAAGGTTGTCCCAAAACTAACCAATTGTGCGCTACATGCCGTGAATTGCATGACAGCATTCCGGCATTAAATGGACATCACTTTGTACCTTTATCACAATTCGATTTCTCAGTTAACCCATCTAACATCCGTGAACAATTACGTCACGTATTAGATAAAGCTCAATACTGCGACAAACACGACGGCGAGTTGCTAACATTCTATTGTGAAGAGGATGACACCGTGGCATGCAGAGATTGTATTTTGGAAACTCACAGTAAACATGACTTTAAAAAAATTGGAGATGTGGTGAAGGGTCAACGGGAGTTAATACAAGAAAAACTGAGATGTCTCCCAAGTGCAAAGCCGTCTCATTATGAAAGAGCAGAGAAAGCCATTGTACGAACGGAAGAGAGGCTGACGGAAAATCAGTCAAACGTACTTAGTTTGGTGGATTCTCAAAAATTAGCTATGACGAAGGAGATAATGGAAAACAGTGAAACCATTGAAAGAGAACTAAGCATTTATTACCGAGAAATAGAGGAAGACGTACGTCAACAGATCGACGCGTATTTAACAAGTATGAAACACCATTTGGAAACGTACCAAACAAAAGTACTGTCAGATTACATCGAAATGCAGAAAGTTATAGATGACAAAAGCAACGAAACAACGGCAGAAGTTATGGCACTCACCTCCACGCAGCTGAAGACTTTAGACGCTGAAAAGGACAAGCATGAAATTGACAAGATTTCCATCCAGAGCATTCGTGATTTCGCTCAGCAGCTCACAGACAACGGATCTGCCATCGAGGTCATGACCCACTCTAAAAAACTCCAAGCTAGAATCCAGGAGTTGCAGACAGTAGAACCAGTCTTTGATACCAAGATCACCGACGTAACATTAACACCAGGTCTAACAGAAATGGGCCGTGTGCTACAGTTTCCTAAAATCCCTGAACCAAAACCGCTGTCCATCAAAACAGGGTCCATCACGGCCAAAACATACCGCGGTCCCTTGGATGCATGTTTTGGTAGTTTGAAACAAGAGGGAGCGCACTGTCCCGAGCTGATGTGTTTTCAGAAGGCAACATGGTTTGGCACTCCAGAGCGGAAATTTTGTTTTAATGTTAAGGGCTGGCCACTGTGGGACATCCAGTGTACAGATGACGGGTGTATTTTAGTTGGACATAGTGATGCAGTGTCAGTTTTCTCCAGTGCAGGTAAATGTAAGCGTAAAATCAGTATAGAGGGAGGCGGAAGGCGTATCGCTATAATCAGTAACGATACATTCGTGGTCATATGCCGTGATGAATGCTGTAGACTGTATTCAACATCAGGCCATGTTACCCGGTGTTTTGGTCAGGGTGATATGTCTTACCCCTGGGGAGTCACGGTGGACCGTACAGAGGGTAAGGTGTACGTGTGTGATTGTGGTGCACAGTGCATCTGTATGTACGACATGGTATCTTTTCAACTTGTTAACAGAATTGCTATCCCAATGTGCAGTAAAGACACACTGCGCTGTGCATACCACCACGGCATCAATGCAATCATAGTCAGCGACCGCTTGGCCCACTGTGTGTATGCAGTGACACCCCAGGGTGACGTCATGTTTCAATACGGAGCACGAGGTCAGAATGGAAGTGGAGACGGACAACTGAGTTATCCACGAGGAGTGTGCGTAGATAAATTTGGACAAATGTTTATAGCTGACCGTGATAATGACAGGGTGGTTGTCCTTGGTCTAGACGGAACATTTTTACGTAACATTTTGACAAAAAGCGACAACACTGAGCTGCCTTTGTCCGTCTCTATCGCCAGTAACGGGGAGCTTGTTGTTGGATCCGCCAGAGGAAAAGTATCCACGTATAAGTACATCGCTTAGCAATGATATATATATATATATATATATATATATATATATATATATATATCGCTAACAGATGGCCTTGTCGCCAGGCGTCATTTTAAGTATCTGGAAGTACTGTACAATGCTTACAATGTAAAACTCCTAATTGCTGCATATAAAGTCGCCAAAATTGCTGCAGATATTTAAAATGGCACAAAGAACAATAGGATACCAGGTATTTTGTTAAGATCTTTAAACCGATGTAAGACAAGATGTCTTATTTTCGAAGGTAAAGTGACAATTGGTGTAATTTAAGGTAATTAGTGAAAGAAAAATCTCAGAAAAATCGATGGCATCCTTTTTAACTACAGTTCTTATTAGCCATTGATTTTTTCTGATACTAGTTCATGTAATCGAGAAAACCAAGAAATCTAAAATAGCACTCATCATCAACCTGCTGATATGACATTATCAGCAAAATGTGAGTGCTTCAGGGCCGTAGCCTCCGGGGGGAGGGGGGTGGAGGGGGGGGGCAGCTGCCCCCCTGGGATTTGAGGTGCAAAAAAAAAAAAAAATTATCGCAAAGGTAAAAAAAATAATTGCAAAGTTGGTATCAATTCTGTGAGAAAATGCATTCATGGCCACTAGACAATGATTCAACAATCTGTTTACAAAGGTGTACTGTTTTTAGTCAACTCAGTTCATGCCAAAAAGCTCACCCTCCCTTAGGGAGTTATCCCCCAGGCTGTTATCAGGTTATTGTTTACCCTGACTGTTTGCCCAACAAAGCTGGGAGGGCTTTTTGAGCCTGCAGAGAACAGGTTGTAAGGCCCTTATCAGTATGTGGGATCAGTTTACATGGTGTTTAGCCTGGACATGATGTAAACTGACCCCACAGCCTGAGTCGGCCTGTGCACAATAACAACAATGTGTATGTGTTCACAGCAATGCAACTATTAGATAACTTCAGAAAAGCACAGACTAGACTGAATGGAATCCAGGATTATTTCTTGATCTTTTAGATTACAGATTATCTTTATTTTGTTGATGATGACGACTCCATCGAGAAAAAGATCGAGTTCCCAACAGTCAATGTTACACTTTGTCACCAAAAAAGTTAGGTGAGACATTATTTATATACATGTACCAGTACTCCAGAGATCTGTAAATTTTGTAAACTAATGAACTACATTGTAATCTTGAAAAATTTATTTGAACTGTAAAATTTATCTGCTCTTTTTGAGCGTATGAATTATTTGGAATAATTTTACATGTAGGTAGATACAGAGATGGGTCCAGGGGATCCTTATCCCCCCTTTTTTTGTCCGAAATTACCTTTTTCGTTTGAAAATTTGCCAATTTTGGGGTTAGACGCCTCCTTAATGTGCGGATCGACCTTTTCCGGGTGTCATTCAAGCGCTATAGGACTCTCAAAAGAATGAGAAAATGACTGTACTTATGGCAAAATGAACCCACAATTTCTGACTTCTGATTGATCAATAAATAACAGTTAAAATGCACCAGAATGCAGTATTATACATACAGTTTTAAAAAATTTTCCACACTGTGGGAGGGGGACACCCCCTACCAAACCTTCCCCCCTCGGGGGCTTCGCCCCTCGTGTCCGCTTACTGCCCCCCCCCCCTGGCATTTTGCTCAGGCTACGGCCCTGCTGCTTTATCTGAAGAAAAATGAAAAATGACCCGATTTTTAAATATAATATTGTGCAAGGTCCATCTTCTGCATTGCATACCTTGGTGTTAGTTCAAGCATGGAGGTGTACATGTACTTTCATGGTTCAAGACTTCTGTGTGCGATATTTTGTCTAGTTATATAATTGGTATAGAATACGATGGTATTTGCTGTGTGATAAAACTACATACTGACCTCCCTCCTTGATATCTCTTTACTGAGGTCAGCAAAACAACAGATATTGGCCTCGGCTTAAGTCGATAATTGTATTATATTCCGTCGTATCTACTCCAGGCGGAATTTAAGGGTTCGTTCCCAAATGAAACTATCGGTCTACGTAGATCGATGCAACTCCGCCGGGACTCTCGCTGAATGCAATCTGTTTAAGAGATTAACCCGCTTCTTCTCGTTTCCAACATACATTGTCATCAGATTTTCTGTATTCTACCCATAGCCGCTCTGATCCTTAAGTTTTAGCACGAAAATATTCAGATGGTGATTACAATAATCAGCAATAAAAACACTTTGATGTCTTTTTAGTTTTGTCGTTATTTATTTATTTATTTATTTATTTATTTATTTAATGTTACTCTTTCACTGTCCTGTTGCAGAATGAACTCGAGTACGATGACAAAAGTATTTAGGTTTAAATATTTTATTCAAATTTGTTCAAGCATAGTATGCATGTGCTGAATAAAATTTATCTAATCTTGTGGCCCTTTTGTTGGTACTATAAAACACGTAAAAAGATGAATCAAGCAGATGCGTCTTAAAATGCAGAATTTACGTAACTGATTTGTCCCCACCAAAATATATTTCATGTCTTTTATTTATTTATTTTACTGGATTAGCTACTGGTATAAAGAAGCAACAAAGAAAGGTGTCTCACATATTCACCAAATGCAAAGAAAGGTCGAAGGAATATGATAAGAGATTAGAATAAACAAACCACTTCAGTATATCAATAAAATTAAACTCGCAAAGTCAATTATTTCATTACCATTTCATATTCTTACTTATGCTGTACTCAAAGGCATGTAAGTTACTGTGCATTGCATATGTACACTCGTTTGAATTATTTTCCTAGCCAATATGAGCAACAGATATTAGCAGACGATCATTACAGCACCTGGCGGGAAGTTAAACCTGCACAAACACGTCGACTTAGGATGTTTGACAATGAAAATGCTGGCATGCATGAAATACGATTTTTTTTAACAAAAACTTATTAATACACACTGTATGATGAGCACACACACTCTGTTTTACTTTCTTGAATATTAATTGCTGTATAAAAGTACTAATTAATTGTTCGGCATGATATAACTCCGAATGAAAAGCATTTTCTTTTGCTCAGATTCAGTCTCTTAATAATGAACAATAGACAATTCTAATAAAGTTCATTAATAAAGTGATTTCTGTGCATATAAACGTGTAGAACAACACCAACCTATGCATTCAGTACAAAAAGATAAGAAATGAAATTAAATAGATTTCTTTTTAAATTTATAAAAGACGGCGATTTAACTGACAACTTCGTACTGGTTCGTCTCGTAGTCTGGAGGAGGAATGTACACCGGTGAGCCCCGTCTATTGTCGCGTAAGCCTCGATCCTCTTTCCAAGAATTTACCGCCCCCGGTGTATCCTCTGGCGAGTGGTCGTACATACGGTTGTTGAACTGTGCTGCGAACAACCTGTCGTCCCTCCATAATTGTGAGGGCGGCCTTAGGGCTGAGCGTGGTGGGAGAGGTCGCGGGTATTCAGCAGTCCGAGGAGAATGGGAACTGACTGACGCTTGCTTGCTACAACCGAAAATAGGAAAGTTTGGCGTAGTCAAACGACATTTTATGGCGACAACAATCTCCAGAGCTTATTTATTCCTTGTTGCCTTCTTTCTTGCTTTGAATGAGACTATAAAAGTTTGTGGTACACTGAGATAGAGCATACATAAAAGAACATTGCGTGAATACGTTACCCTTCAACTGCACTTCTAATACATTCATCTATTTATTTATTTATTCCCTCTCATTGTTTAAAATTGATTTTCAAATTGGCGCAGGTCACTGAGATATCCGCTGCCTTTACTACGTCATCGGTAACAGTGAAAAATTATGTTGTTCCAATGAATACGTTTTGTAAGCGTTTCTTGTAAAACAAGAACCATGTGGGAGCAGTGCCTTTGACCGCTTACGCGTGTGAAAAATTACACCCCCATTACAAGGAAATCCAATCTCGAATATGAAAACCACCCGTGGTCGATGAATTCAATATCGATTATCTTAACATTGTGAAGGACATATTCGTGCTGATTACCTTTTCAATCGCTGTATCTTTCTACGGTGGACACAACAAAAGATGCCAAATCCAAAGACGGCAACAATAAAGGCAAGAGAACCCAGCACGGCACCTATTATCCATATAGTCGGGGGCTGAAGGACACCTGGCGGCGAGGTTATTTTGATCTTGCATACTGAGTAGTCAAAGATGAATAATTTCAAAATATTGAACATAATTAAAGCAGTCAATTGAACGTTTAATCAAAACTGGGCATTTTTGGTTTTTAAACCCACAGAACCAATTAATATTCTTAAAAATCACATGCTTAAAACACATTTTAAAAACATTTAAAAACAGATTAAGAAAATCTAAGCAAAGAGGAAAATTTGTGACACGAATTGTGACAAGAATTGTGCCTATAAGTAAACACGTCTTCAATATTGTTTTAATCACCTTCGAACGCGGAAATCAAAGCAGAAATTCGTTAACCAACTCTAAAATATTTTCAATATACCTTCCGTCGCGGTCCACTGATGAACGCTGGCATTAGGATAGCACACTTTGCCACTGTTCTTTGGATCCAGCTGACATAAAGCGTAGCACGTGCCGTCAACGAGACAGAAATCATGCTGAAAATGATGTAATATGGAGAGATATAGAAGTTTGCTGCTCAGGGTAGACTGGCTAACTCCTCACGACTGAAATGCACTGAAGGCGTGCGGGGCATCTGACACGTCAAAATAATGGTTTTTAAAAAATTTTAAAAATTAAAAAAAAAAAATGCATTTGACTTTGTCAGACTGTGGAGTACGGGGACGTTTCCCCCCAATGTCAAAATGTGCACCCAAAAATGGAGTCACATTTGACATTTTTTAATTGTCGGGTAATCTATACCTACCTGTGTATGATTTGCAACGTCATTGCTTGCAATATACCATCTTGTGTATAAGACATAGGTATTTAAATGACGTATCATTCTTTCATCGTAATATCAACGAGTTAGTAAAGTATACTGTATATACAATGAAACATATAGGAAATGTGTATATATTATTTAAGTAAAGAAAAATTTCCATTACCTTCACTGACCAGCCATGATCATTGTCAGTTGCAGAACAAAACTGGCAGAAAGAACCCGGGTTGGTTTCACCGTCGTTGTAACACTGCGTGTCTATACTGCATGTAATTGGCTATATATGACGCAAAAAAAATAAAACGACGATAGTCATCTGTCTTTCATGCATGGGCTTCATAAATGGGTATTGCAAAATTGTTTTTTAGATAAAACAGCACATTATTTTACATTTTTGCAAATGAATTATACTGTTTTAATTTATCATTGTGTTAAATCGTTGTATAAAAGTACTTTTTTACGATTAGAAATATATGTGCCTCCTACAATGGACTGCCTCTACGATGAAACAGAGACAAACGAAGATACCACCAAGGAATCGCATACAGTAGTTGCAAAGTAAACTGAAGTAGACTACAACAAAAAGGTTATTGAAAATACGAGGTGCAAGTCTCATCCATCTACGCTTGCAAACCAAGGCTCCAATTTGGAATTCTGCAGAATTCTTGCACGTTTGCGCTTCCCGTGTTCATGACTTTGAATTATCACTTGAATAAAAAAAAGATCGCTTATAAGTACTTTTGGCAAGAACCTACTTTGCGGAACCAAGTGGAGTTGCTGTAGGTGGTGTTGCAGGTGCGACATCTATCGTCGACATTTTCCTCCCCGTCGGCGTAACAACTACAGTCGATGGTGCATGCATCGCTCTGCAAGATACAGACGGCAGATTTGAATTCTTAATTCAGTACATATTTATCAGAACAGTTGAAAGATTTATGTCTGCTACGTAACATGCAATTAAATGAAAGCATATACAGTGTACATATCAAAATATATACATTAAAAATCGCAAAATATGAGATGACCTGCATCTTTGAAATTGGACAAATAGACTTGCCTAAGACTTTAATTTATGTCTTAATTATCATGGAGCTATATGCTGTGCTCTGCGCGCACAAAGATGTTCAGCGCACTGTATACACGACTTAGGCCTACCTTCAACCGGCAGCTGTTTGGGTCATTATTTCTACAAGAGACACACTTGTCATCAAAGGTTATCAGGTATGTAGCATTGCTAAACTGTGCTTTGTTGTTGCTGACGCTTATGCCATAACGGTAGATTGGAGGTCCAGTACACTCAGCGCTACGTTTATGGTGCCTTGGTCTAGGAAGAGGGCAGATAACTTCTTGAAAGTGAACGAATTCTGCAGCCATGAGTTCCACGTTTGCCGCGCTACTCTGAGGCTTTCCTGCCGTCACCTGAGAGGGATATAAGATTAAGATACGTTCTTACTCTGTTTGTTACTGAATTCAAAGTATAAGCTGACAAGTCCTTTTTACGTGTAATTTCTCTCACCTTCAACTTCTTTCCTCATCAAGAATAATAAATTAATAAATTAACTCCATTTTTTTGTATATTTTGTTATTATAATTGCATAATAAAGATGTATTGAAAATAAATGGTTCAGTTAGAGTTTGAAATATTAAGGATGTTTGTTTATATCGATGTTGCTCATTGTCCTCATTTTATCATTAATAGACTATATGCATGTCATATATTTGTATTTGAACAATATTTCTGATCCAACTAAGACATTGTCATTCTCAACATCACCTCCTGAATTTCCACTTTACATGTTAAGTTTTTATTGTCGAGGAAGGTGCCACCGTAGACGGGTGACCTTGCACATGGCCTTGACCTAGTTTTACACAGACCGTCGCCCGGGAGGTAATAAATGGTTGGCACGGCGGATGTATCAATAGAACAATCTGCGCCAGCAAACGTGTCGTCGCAGCTACACGTGCCTGTAATGAAGATCAAGATATTAATTAACATATTAAAGGCACAGTGCCATAAAGTAATTTCTCTCTTTTTTCTTCAATTGTTAATTTTTTGTTCACACACACACACACACACACACACACACACACAGTACGGACCGTTGATGCATTGGCCATTTCCACTGCATTCATTTGGACATTGCACTGCCTCCATTTCCTCGGGAAGGGAAACTTTACCAGTCTCGTTGTTAGTCACCCAAATTGATGAGTTTTTCTCTAGTTCTCCTAGACATGAACTCTTAATAGCCTGAAGTGCTGCAGGTGCCCATTCAGTGCTACCAGTTAGCTAGATATAAAAGGTAATCGGTATATGTATGTTGTGAACTTAAAAAAAAACTGGTTAATTTTTGTTTTGAATGTACATTATGAGCAGTTAAAGGTATTAGATACACTTCGCCTCTTGTATATTTTGTATACTTCAAATTCCAAATGGTACTGAATTCATTGTAGAAAGAACAAAAACACATGCAGAAAATTAAACCATGTCTGAAATAAGAGAAGCAACCAAAAGATATACGTTATTCCAATGCAACATGTACGGATTTTCGTGCAAGCACTCTCGTGTCTGTTGTGTGTGTACGAATGAACATATATAGGCTTACATATATGTCTTCTATGCAGCCTTTGATGGGATCCTCCGTGTTGGCACCAGGTACCGACTTGCAGGACTTGCCAGTGCTTGTGTTGGCCATGAAGGTTTCACAAAACTGAGCTGCGGTGGCATTTGTCCAGTTATTCTTCCACGATGGTTCCTATGCAAAAGCAATTTGCAATAATGATTTTTGTATAGTTTGAAAGGTGAAGATATTCACTGCAATATTTGAACATTGTCCAAAAAGATGGATATTGTGCGTACACCTGTAGAGATTTGTGGGAAAAATGCTTATCCTCTATAAAATTGCAACAAACTCTGTGTAAAAAACAAGACCTTTCATGCTGTCTTGTTCTAAAAACTAATCTTCTGCGTGTCATCTCTAAATAGTATGTACGATTTCCTATATGCGGGGACATATGAAAAGGGACAAATAACACTTAAATATTTCACCATCACAGATGCATTTGAATTGTTCTGTGGATCAAAACAGAAAGATAATTTACTCATGCAAATGCATGGCGTGCAAACACCCATTGCTGTAACAAATCTAACATTTACCGGCACTGTATGATAAATGTCGTATTCAAAAACCCGAGTTTCCAAAACATCATCATTGCCTTGACCGGATTCTTCGGCGGCCCTACGGCGCCGACATTTCTGATGCTCTCTAGAGGAGAAGTTGTCATCTCCTGGACACTTGACAATATTTTCTGCGTAACCACACTGCACGATCGAATTGGCGTCATTGGTTTCTGCAGAACATCGGCAATAGTTAGACCGTGATGTTGACCGCTTTGAGAATTGTAGCTGGGAGGCAGGAGGTCCGTTATAGATTGAATACTGCGGCTGAACCCTAAATGTATAAAATAGCAAGGTGTGGATTCGAGTCAGGGCTCCGCACCCTGAGCTTCAGAGATAACTTGGCACTAACCTCTTCACTATAGCCTTCATCGTGTCAAGTTACCTCTGACCACATTCGATTGCCCGCGCCGCCTGCAAATCAAATTTAAAGCCCGCCCTCAATGACTCATTGAACGTTCTAGCCAATGAACGCGAACGAGTCAAAGCGCGCTTTGTTCAAATCCGGACCAATCAAAGATAAGGCTGAATATCAGGGACTTGCCGTAACCTGTGGGCAGCACGCAAAATACATCATCCCTCAGTAGATAATGATGCAGGGCCTCAAACTGCTCTGGTTTCAATTCCGATATACTCATAATTTGCAAAGAATCAAGAGATAACTTAACACATTCTTTTACGTAGTCACTTAGTAGACGCCATGCTTTCTTTTGTGTACGGTTATGCAGACGCAACGAAATACAAGTTTCTCATTGGACATAATTCTGGATTTTCAACCAATCAGCGTTTTCACTTTGGTGAAAAATTTTGAAACATGGATTCGATTGGCTTATATAAACTAAGTCAAACTATTTTCGTCAGAGGTAACTTGACACGATGAAGATAGGCTATAGTGAAGAGGTAAGTGTCAAGTTCAATGAAGCTCAGGGTGGGGCTCCGTTAACTTGAAAGCATCGCGAATTGCGAATCACCTTTCATTTCGGGGCTATTAGGGCCTGTATAGTAAGTTATGGAATAGAGACGCTGGCACTCGGTCGCAATTCGCGATGCTTTCGAGTTACGGAGCCCAGGTGTTCTGCTTTGTGTGTGTGTGTGTGTGTGTGTGTGTGTGTGTGTGTTATTTTTTCAAGCCATGGTCTTTTTAGCAAACGTGTTTTAATAAATAACAATCAAGAAAATCATAAAAAAATATATATATTGACAATACCTCCAGGACATTGCAAAATCCTTTGGATTACTAGAAACGGGTTCAGTACGTCCGTCCTTAGTCAGGAAGTCGTCGCTCTTGTCATGGTTTAGGGTTCCACACAATCCAACTGTTCTGTTAAAATCCTTAGCTCCAGGATGAATCTGGACATTCATGAAGTCGTCGTGTCCATATCGATAGACCATTATGTCAACATAGCCTCCAGTGGGTAAGTAAACCTTGAAAATAATATTTCAGTGAGAAGTTCCTAACAATCTGTCTGGACAATTATGAGATTTTTAAAGAAATGTACTCTTTTGTCTCTACTGCTCAGTTAATCATTATAAAATCAGCATATCTATTTGTTAATATGACATTGATGTTTGTGTCTCTGGCTTATAAGTTCATTGAAAAAATAATGATGGTTTCAGACTTTTTCAAAGAAGTTAAAGGGATAATAACTCTTCGTTTCGGTCAAAAAAATAATTTCCCTGGAGTAAACAACAATTTTCCCATACTTACCAATGGTTAATGAATCCATTTTTACATTCAAAGTTAGTCCCTGGTTTTTTTCTAAAAAGTTTGGTTTTTTGTTAAAATCTCTTAAGAGATTTTAACAGAGTATAGCCATCAATGGAGGTCACGTGGTCTAAAGACAAGCTCAGATATCAGAATAATAGCTGTTACTGCCGTTTTTGTGGTAAAACAGAATATATTATATTTCTATGAGTTGTTCACAACGTTTTTATTGTGAAATATAGATCTCATATGAAGAGTTATTATCCCTTTAATAATGTAAAAAATTCACTGAAAAGTGAAATTTCGATTTAACTGATACCATCCAATGATTGGACTTGTTCAACATAGGCAACAATACCTTAAAATGCTTGCCACCGTTTAAAGACTCCACCCTCAGTTGCCCGTCCTCGCACCCAACAAGCCCCACTCGCATTGGTCTCTTGGCTGTTATTTGCTTCAATCCCGTGCCAGGTTTACATGTGTCCACTATGAAGACGTCTCCCCCGGACATCACGCTCACAGCACAATTACAGTATGCGTAGCCGCCATTGCAAGGTTTGAAAAAAGCATGTACCTAAAACATTACAATTTGAAGAAGAAATCAACGGTTCGTGTTTCTTTTTTCATGAAGGGTCTAAGAGGAGATATTATCGCACGAGAACTCTTTTAATTCGTGTCCATTTTATACCTTTGAATGAAACCCTGATTCTGCCAGAACCTTTTTGGGATGTTCTAATACTTCAAAGTATTAACACAAATTCAAAGAAAGAGTTTTAAATTACGACATGTGGAGTTTGACAAATGACAGAATTGGTAAATGAAAACAAACATCATATTTTACCTGAACTGGTAATGTGGTATGTTTGTACAAAACAAATTCACCTCCGTACTGGCATTCGTAGTTGCTATAATTTCAAAAATATATTTGAACAGATTATTGATACAATATGGATATATGTTTCAACATAGATCTATGAATTCATAATAAAAACGTCGTGGAGACCTTGTTGTGTGTGCGAGTGTGTGCGAGTGAGGGAGTACTTGTGTTGTAATTCATCTAATTATTCGATATTGATGCCAGCATCAGGTGTATGTGCAGAAAGGCATATATTCGTATACAAAATGTTGCGTTTTCCTGCGTTGCTAAAATTGTGACAATAAATTTAATTTAATATGAGTTAGTGTATGTTTGCAAGCATAGCAAGCAAATGCTTTGGGTATGAGACCTGCCACAAATCACGGCACGATAGAGCAATTCAGTAAAGTTCTTAAATTAATCTCAACTATGTGAAAGACGGCTTGCATATAAGCGGTAAAGCACTTACTTTCCATCAAACGTCCTCATATGCGGGTCATTGTTGGACATGCATACCTGGCCGGCGGCATCTATATCTGTATCTAACACCTTAACCTGCAAATGATTTTTAAACTTTTGAAAATGTTAATATAAATGCTTAATTTGTAAAATAAAAATATTTTAATCCAGCATTTTATAGTCACATCGTATATATAATTTGATATCTCATTCCATTTAATTGTCATGCAAATGCCATTTTTGGTATATTTTCTGAGTAAACACCATAATTTATCTCGGGTGCGTAATCAGAGTCTATTTGTTTGTTGGCCAGATTACTTTGAGAAATTGTAAGGGAATATTTCACACCTAGTTGCTGAGTTTGTGGAGAAAACTAACATAAAAAGTCGTGCGGTGGATAGATTCTGTCATACGTACAGGTATATCCGGCAGCGTATAGTCGTTCCATGCGGGATGAGTAGTAAATTCCCCAGTGTGTACCATAACTTTGGTGTTCGTGTGGCCGTCATACACGCCATCGACAACTGGAGCTATCTTGAAGGTGTGTGTTTTGTTCCAGTTCATTGCGTTTATTTCTAATCTACAAGGTGTCCTCTCAAACTCAGAGACGAACTCCAGTCTTTCTCCGCTACTGCATAGTCGCTTCTTTGGGACAAGCGGGATTCTTATCTCCACTGGGAGAAGCTGCTCATGGCAATAGCTTTGGAGCTTCAGATCAGAACACAGAACAGGAACTGTCAGTTGGAGTTTTATTTCGGTTGAGACAACATCGCTTTCCTTCAAAACTATAGGCAGAGTGTTAAGCACCTGCAAATACCAGTTCCCTTTATTTTATTCGGTACTTCTGGTATTTATTAAATGGTATTCTATATAGGCATGCACTGAATAACCGAGCGTTACATTTCTTTGTGAATGTGCAGCGCTTGGAATTGGGAGGTAGGTTCACATTGTGTTGCCCGGAAAGATCGAGTAAGCAGCAATCGTTCTAAATTTTTCATACCGGTAAGTGCAACAGAACACCTACATTCATCCCAGCAAACACGTCAAGTTGGTACCAAGTGGTCAATCCGTCGCTATGACGTTATATAATGTGGTAGAAACGTGCTAGCCACGTGATCCGAACGTGACGTGTTGCTGGGATTACATCCATAATTTTTTTTATGGTACGCCAGCGTCAGGAATTATGACCATGTGGAGCCTTTGGTATCTCAATGATTTGGGCCAGGCATGCACTTAAGTGCTTTCTATCAATAAACTCTTCGATATGCTGATTTATAAGACAGGTATTATATGTTCCTCCAGACGTATCTTAGGTTTTATAGCAGCTGTAAACACGAATTTATTTTTATTCTAGACAAATTGTGACAAAACCTTCCAGTACAAATCATAGGTGCTAAAAAGTAAAATTCTCAACAAAACAAAATAAACAAAAGGTGAAGGTCAGTTTTTTTCTGGGGCGACCTCTGACTCTTAGGCTTCGTTCACATGCAATGNCTAGACAAATTGTGACAAAACCTTCCAGTACAAATCATAGGTGCTAAAAAGTAAAATTCTCAACAAAACAAAATAAACAAAAGGTGAAGGTCAGTTTTTTTCTGGGGCGACCTCTGACTCTTAAATGACTGAAGAATTTACATAAGTTAAAGTGAACACAAACCGAAAATGCACATTATAGGCAAGCTAAAACGATCCCCTAGCCCTTTTAGCTGATAGGAGTATACACGTTGTGCAGCTGTACTTTCCTTTACCTTTAGTCCCGCAAAAAACTCCTCGCTTTCCAAAGGTGCACTTCGTCCACCATGTATTATTCCATTTTTTATGAACTTTGCCCGCACGGTGCACTTAACCTTGAATAAATGGCAATGACCCAATTATAAGGAGGCTAGATATACCAATCATCTTTTAAACTTTGTTCCAATTTTTTGAAATTTGTCTTTTATCTCTAAACCTAATTCCAAAATACAGTTGAGACCAATACTTACTTTAAACCCTAATGAGTGCTTCCCAACCCAGTGGGATTCCTTCAACGTCGCTGGCATGTTTCTGGTGGGAACGTCCTCGTCTTCTAGTATCTTTTTGCCATCAAAAAACCAATATACGTCAAAGAACAGCTCTCCACGTTTTTCTTCGGCAATTTGACGATACTGTTGGTCGCACCTGAAAACTATTTCTTTGAAACGCTTCCCCCACTGATTTTCTCTAATGCCTTCGCCGACGCTCACTTCCGGGATTTGAGTGATGTTGGGAAATACATCTGTGGAATGTAGTTGTGAACAGAAAAGCTATTTTTATATAATCTGCTCATTTTGCACCATTATATATAATATGCTGCATACGTGTACGTACAGTATCGATAATAGGAAATGCGGTTCTCTATCCTTCAAATTAAAAGGACTAAAGCTTAAATAGCGGTTGGTATTCGGTGTTCTGAACCCACAACGCTTATACTCATTAATTAGATTGCTAGGGAGCAAACAGTTATATGAACCACGTTGGATTATTTACTAGCGTCAAGGCCGAAGGTGAAATTTGCATGCTTCTCACCTGTACACCCCGGTTGAAATCCAGTTTCAGACGTGTGGCCTGATGGGCAAAGGACCTTGTCACCTAGAACATTTGTACAAACAGTGACTTTGTCTTACATTGTACAACTTGACTTTGAATTAAGTCTCAGAAAATGAGTTTTTATTTATGCACACATTTATTCTTGTCTCTGTCTTAGTCATCAAAACCCTCCAATTTCAAATGCTGTTGGCTTGCACAAATAACGCAATTCTAATGTGTTAAATATTGTACCAGGAACATTCATTCTATTTCGTCACATGTTTGACACAAATGATTAAATCACTCACACTTTGACAATCTCATAACTTACCTATGCAGTAGCGTTCTGGACATTCTGACACTGATGGCAGCCTATAGACCATGAACGCGGAACAGTTCTTGATTTGAATGTCGTATGACTTTGCACAACAGTTTCCGGTTTTGTTCACGCAAGCGGTTCTATTGACAATGCCTTCTTCCTCATCGGGGTGTGAATCTTGAAGCGAAGAAAGAAACTGCGATATTGAAACACATTTAAAAAGACGAAAGTGCAAAGGAAATCATGAATAGTAAAAGCGACATTTTGCCGGATTAAAATGGGCCAAAATAAATAAATAAATAAATAAATAAATAATCAGCATAATGGCTTTTCGTTGTATTTGGGTTATGCGTGATCAGGAAGGTTTTACAGAACAGACAACCTACCATTCAGCCAGATAGGCCGTTCTGTCCCACAGTTTCCGTGAACAATGCACGTGGTCGGCATCGTGCTCCCAGTTAACATGTCGAAGCGGTACCAGCTGTTGTTGAGGTGATTGTCGCAATTGTTGGGCAATTCAGACAAAAAGGTCGAGCTTCTGGTTACTTCATCCTTCCGCACAGTATGTTGCACACAAGGATTAAGCTCTTTAAGTAAGAAATATCATCTGCTTGATGATGTGGTTTAAATATGAATAGTGAACATTTATTAGCATGGAATATATACGGGACCATACCCAGACCCTATCGTACTTAGTGTGTATCAATCTATCTCCAAGGGGATTCTCGTTAAATAACAACACAGTCTAAAGAATCATAAAGGTAATAAATTTTCATAACATAGAATTGCGTGACATATCTTCTTGCACTTTAAGTAATTATGTGATGCCTTGCAGCGTAATGCCGGACATATACAGTACACAGATAACGTAAAGCCCATCGTATTCTCCGAAAGAGTCCTCAATCACGTTTATATTACAGATAAGACGACCCAAAGTGTTGATCAAGTGTTGATACAATGTCGTTTTATCAAATTAAATCAACATGCCTACCGTGTAACATTGGCTTTGAAAAACCAACATTAAAGTTTCTAACGTTCCTACCTTGACAAGTGGCATTATAATCTTCACAGCAGTCTTTCGCTACCAAACAGTGCTCGTCACAGTAACAACCTCTATTTCTACAAGTACTGTTATGTCCTAGACAGCAGCCATAGCCAACGCAAAAGCCATCGATCTCTGAAAAACAAAGATCACATGCCAAAAAAAGAAATAAAACATACTCTTACGAGACGTCTTATAGGACTCTATGAGACCCTAATGCCTCTATTTCACACAGACCACGAATCCCACGAATCGCCAGGAATTGACAAATTTCAGGATTCGTGGGGATTCGTGAGATTTTGCCAATTTTCTGGTCTAATTAGACACGCTCTAAGATTCAGTTACGATACAGGTGCGATAGTGTTACGAATATTCGTGGGATTCGGCTGGAATCGCACGAATATTGTCCAGAAATTCACTACGATTTTTTGGAATCGGGAGTTCGTGGCCAAAATTTTGAACATCTCATAAGTTTTGCCACGAATTCCCGATTGATTAAGAATTTCAAGAACTGACTACGATTATATACGAATCTGTTGAGAACTTCACGAACTGATTACGATTCAACCACGAATCCTAAAATTTGTCAATTCATGGCGATTCGTGGGATTCGTGGTCTGTGTGAAATAGGGGCATTAGGGTCTCATAGAGTCCTATAAGACGTCTCGTAAGAGTATGTTTTATTTCTTTTTTTGGCATGTGATCTTTGTTTTTCAGAGATCGATGGCTTTTGCGTTGGCTATGGCTGCTGTCTAGGACATAACAGTACTTGTAGAAATAGAGGTTGTTACTGTGACGAGCACTGTTTGGTAGCGAAAGACTGCTGTGAAGATTATAATGCCACTTGTCAAGGTAGGAACGTTAGAAACTTTAATGTTGGTTTTTCAAAGCCAATGTTACACGGTAGGCATGTTGATTTAATTTGATAAAACGACATTGTATCAACACTTGATCAACACTTTGGGTCGTCTTATCTGTAATATAAACGTGATTGAGGACTCTTTCGGAGAATACGATGGGCTTTACGTTATCTGTGTACTGTATATGTCCGGCATTACGCTGCAAGGCATCACATAATTACTTAAAGTGCAAGAAGATATGTCACGCAATTCTATGTTATGAAAATTTATTACCTTTATGATTCTTTAGACTGTGTTGTTATTTAACGAGAATCCCCTTGGAGATAGATTGATACACACTAAGTACGATAGGGTCTGGGTATGGTCCCGTATATATTCCATGCTAATAAATGTTCACTATTCATATTTAAACCACATCATCAAGCAGATGATATTTCTTACTTAAAGAGCTTAATCCTTGTGTGCAACATACTGTGCGGAAGGATGAAGTAACCAGAAGCTCGACCTTTTTGTCTGAATTGCCCAACAATTGCGACAATCACCTCAACAACAGCTGGTACCGCTTCGACATGTTAACTGGGAGCACGATGCCGACCACGTGCATTGTTCACGGAAACTGTGGGACAGAACGGCCTATCTGGCTGAATGGTAGGTTGTCTGTTCTGTAAAACCTTCCTGATCACGCATAACCCAAATACAACGAAAAGCCATTATGCTGATTATTTATTTATTTATTTATTTATTTATTTTGGCCCATTTTAATCCGGCAAAATGTCGCTTTTACTATTCATGATTTCCT